CCTTATTTTCCTCCAATTTTCTATGGACTAGTGAAAATACCAGCACGTATCAGTATGTTCTGTGGACTAGTATTTGAGATTATTTTTGAAGAGTGTCTACTAAAATTCTTCCCACTTTGCTTCTGAGAATGCTGATATTTAACTTTAAAAAAAAAAGTTTATTTATTTCAAAGGCAGAGGCAGAGAGATGGGGGAGGGAGGAAGAGAGAGGGAGAGGGGAAAAGAGAATAATAGCTCCCATTGGCTCACTCCCTGAATGTCTACCACAGTTGGGCAGTGCCAGGTTGAAGCTGGAATCCGGGAAGTGCATCAGGGTCTCCCACATGGATGGCAGGGACATAAGTACTTGAGCCTCCCGGGGTACACATTAGCAGGAGCTGGAAATGGGAATGGAACCAGGACTCAAACCCAGGCTCTCAGATCTGGGATGCTGTCTTTGGAACGGTGTCTTAACTGCAGGGCCAAATGCCTGCCCCGACATTTAACTGTTGACTGATCGAATGTGGCCACCCCAAGAAGCCCTCCTGTCCCATACAGGCTAAGCTGAACACCCTCTTCTGCGCCAGATTCCTGGACCACTACAGTATTGGTGGGGCCCAGTATGAAGGGAGAACACAGGGCTCCTTGTCCAAAACTTATTCAGAATTTCAAGATGGCAACTTGAAACCAAGTGTGGGGCACAGATGATCTGGAGCCCTTTAAGACTGTGAGGACCCTCACGCCCACGGAGCCTGCTCAGCTTCTATATTCCGACTCTGCAGAAATCCTGGAGTCCCAGAGAGCAGGGACTTTGTGCCTGACACCTGGTGGTCCTTCAGGTCTATGCTGTGAGAGTGACCATTTATTAAGCACTGCTGGGGGTCCCTTCAGCCGGTCAAGCACTTTATGTAAAGTAGAACACATTTGTGGCCTTCCTGGGGACATCGGTGTCGTTCCGAGATCCATTTTATGGAGGAGGAAGCTGAAGTTCTGAGAGATGAAGTGATTGATGCCATGTCACAGACCTTCCATGAGAGGGATGCAGAGTTTAATCACAGGCATGATGGAGGGGTTCCTGGGCGATTTAGCCACCCGTCTCCCACCCCACATTTGGCAGTGACTGTGAACAGTTTTATTCATCACAACTTGGGGGTGCTACTGGCAACCAGTGAGTAGAGTCCAGGGGTGCTGCTGGACATCCTGCAATGCACAGGACGGCTGCACCCACATTGTCCAGCCCCAAGGTGGAGCAGTGGGCCGGACAGCGAAGCCGCAGTCCTAACCTTGAGCACCAGATCCTTCATATTCTCTTCTTTATTCATACTTATTTGCAAATTATAATGTATTTATTTTTCTTCAATTGGCCTTAATATTTCAAAGAATTGACTCTGCTTAAACAGTTATGAACCAATGGTTGGTGTATTATTTTTTCTTGGGTTGCAATACATATAAAACTATCATCGCAAGACAGATTCTTGTTGGGGGTACCACCAGAACCCTCTCCTGTCCCACCAGCAGTCCGGGGAACCACTCTTCAGATGCACTTTACTTCTTTTAAAAGCCTCCCCTTACCTTTTCAGAATGAGAGAATAGGATGTACCCTGCCACCGTGTTGCTGGAGACTGGCAAGGGGCTAGATCCATGTCACTTCTGTTCCCACTCCCTCTTCCTTTAAGGCTAACAGCTGCTTAGAAACCTCCTTGCAACCCTAGAAGCCACCTGATGAGGACAGTGAACAAACACCACAAACAACCTGTCTGGGCTTGGGCCACGCACGGGTAATTTAATTTGTTGTGTTGCCCATGGACCTGAGCAGCAACATCCTACTAAGCAAACAGCCTTTGTTCTGTGGCTCTTGTCCCTAAATTGTCAGGGAGTACAATTTTGCTGCCGTGTGTACAGCAGTCTGACATAATTAAGGCGAGAGCAAATGAGATTCTTCTTTACAAAGTGCCTGTGATGTAAATAACAATGCCATCATCTCGTTCATAGAAAGCACTTTCATTAAGAGATGCATTTTAATTTCAACATATTTGCATGAATCCATGTGGGTCATGGTGGTGGTGGGGCATTTGGTGATGATTTGTCTTCCATGAACTTGCCAGGTGTTTCAATTAGGTAGCATGACCATTCCCTCCCCAGGGAGCCCAGACCTTCTCTGTCATGTGCTCCAAACAGCAGGTAGGGACTACACTCACTGACTTGACGTTCCTGGAGGAAACAGACTTTCTGAAGAGTGAAAGGAACCAAGATGATTGTTTCTTTTTCTAAATATTTTTCAAAGGTTTGGGAAAGAGACTGGGGCAAAGTTCTGGTGGTGGTGGTGGTGGGGGCAGCAGCCGCACAGCAGACAGGGAAGGAACGTGATTTTGGGAGAAAGTCAAGGGCATTGGTGGCTTCAAGTTTGGAGTCATCAGCAGGGTAGATCCTTCTGCCTCTCCGAAGCACAATCCTTGCACTCTGATCGTCACAAATAGGGGGCAGTCTCTGTTAATTAAAGCCAGGAGCAGCTGCCAGAGTGAGCCTGCTCCGAGGACAGGGTCGCATGTCCTGGCAACAGGCGATCTCTTACAGATTTGGAGACGGACTTCTCTGTCCAGATGAGCGTCTTTTCTCTAAGGTGTTAACACAAAGAGAAATGCTTGAGAACCACCCAGTCCTGCAGGAAGGTGTCTGGGCTCGGCTTCCCCCGCCCCCAGGTCCTGTGCTCGGCTCCGCCCGGCTGCTTGCTGTGAAGTAGCAGGGAGAGGTGTGGGGGTGGACGGGTGACAGGTGAGCTCTGGGTTAGGTGACTGGCAGTCTGCATCCAGCTCAGACTTAGCTTGCTGGACCCCAGAGAGCCTGCCGGAGGTCCTCTTTCCAGTGCTGAATCCCAGTGGAGAGAGCTCCTTAGCCTTTTTTTTTTTAGCAGTCATCATAGCACAAACTCTGTCACCCATCCGGGGTGCTCTTCTCCTCTCCCTGTTTAAGACAGTCTTGCATAAAAGATCAGAACTAATGAATACAGCCCATACATATTTTCCAAGTGCTCACCATGATAGTCAAAGCTCCCTGCCGTTTGCATCTGAAGGTGGGGGACAGACACCAGTCTCACATACACAGTGCAGTGTCAGGTGGACGCAGGGTTGGGGAGCCTATTTTAGGAACGTGTGACATACAATGTCCAGGATGCAAGCTCGAGAATCCAATGTCTCGGGTCAAATGCCAGCCCCAGCGTACTCACCGAGCCATGGTCTGCAACTAGTTTAATTGCTTTGAGTTTTGGTCTCTTCTGCTCCTGTGTGAGCTTGGGAATATTATCTAACACAAGAGAGAGTTAAATGAGATCCGTCACTCAGTGGCTCAGCAAATGTTTCCAGATTGTCTGCTGCACGCTAGGCACTGCTCTGAGCTTCCGTGAGGAGGTGATTTTAGAAAAAACAGGCTTAGTGGGTATGCTACAAGCCCGGAATAAATGTCAGCTATCATTAGCTCTCACACACCAAGGCTGGAGTCGGTAGGATTCCGAGGGCTGCAGTGGGCGTGGGCTGCCAGTCATGACAGACATACCACACCATCCTATTTTGGGGATCCGATTCTAATGAACCTGGTGAATCCCGATGAAACAATCACACATCTTCCCCAGGTGGGGATGGTACAGAAGACATCTCTTCATACAGCAAGTCTCCCAGGGGCTGGCACAGTCCGGGGCAAGCTCTCTCAACATTGCCCTCCTGTGTGTCTGCAAGCCCTTTCTCAAACGTCTAAAGCAACTACCCAAACAAGTCCCAGTCAGTCCTCCCACGCCTTTTCAACCAAGGAGACCCTAATATCCAGCCCAACCCCTCAATTCTTTAAAAGCACCCCCAGAAGCCCTTGGCTGGAACCAAATTGGGGGGTGGGGGTGGGCAGAAAGCACTGTTTCCTTGCAAACCGCCTAGCCGACTTCAAAGTGTATACTTGGTTAATGTAATTAAAAAACAAAACGCCTGGGCGTGTGGAGATCTAAATCTGGTGCAGCAGCTTTGGTGCAAATTCTGTTTTGGGGGCTCCTGGATTCAAATTCAAGCCGAGGAGAGGAAGAAGTGGGAGAAGTGGGAGAGGGCCGACGGATGGCCGGAATCTGCCAGCAGAGAGAGGGGCAGATTTGGAAGCGCCAAGGGGAGACCGGAGGCTGCAAGCCCAGGAAGCCGCGCTGAGCTCCGCGGCGCCCGGTGAGAATGTCCGGGGGGCCTCCTTGGGGACAGGGGCCAGCTGGCTCCGGAGACCGATGCACGGGCTCCAGGTCCGGGAGGGAGGCTGAGGCTGGGCGCCCAGGCCTTGCGCTGCGCCGCGGTCGGCCCTCCCGTGGAGCTCCGAGAACGCCGCGGGGGCGGCGCGGGGCGGAAAGCGGCAGGTGCCGTGCCGGGGGCTGGGGGAGTTCCAAGGAACGATCTTCCGGGACCTGCCCGTGCCTGGGCTCCGTCCGCGGCCCCTGCCTACCGCCGGGGCTTCTTTGACTAGTTCATACCTAGCTGCTTGCCACCCCTCCTGGTCGGCTCAGCCTTGGGTCCTCGCCTCGGCCCGGGGAGCTGAGCCATCCGGGTCGCGCGCGAGGCTGGAGGGCGCAGCCGGGGGCCGGGGGAAGGGCGATGCGGAGACTGCGCCCAGCTTGTCTTGGAGCGAAAGCCATCTAGTGAGCCCCTGCCTCTCGGGGTCGCGCCTTCTTCCCTGGTGGGCAGATTCCGGCCGCAGCTCCTGCGCACGCACCCCGTGAACGAGGCACGGGCGGAGCCGCCTCTGCGCCCTGGACAGGTCCGAGCCGCGCCTCCCGACCAGAGAGGGCGCGGGAGGTCCCGCCGGCGTCCTCCACCTGCCGGGAAAGCCGAGCGGCTCCTCCAGCCGCGGCGGCTGCCTAGCTCGCTCCTCCCCGCCCGCCCGAGTCACCTCTCCCCGCGCCCCCGCCCCTCTCCAGCTCGCGCCCGCCCCCCCCACCCCAACCCGCGCCTCCTCTGCCCGCCCCCCCCTCCCTCCCCCTCCCCCTCCCGCCTGCCCAGCTCCCTTCATTCCACAAGTGTCGCTTCGCTCTCTCCGGCGCACTTGGCGAGCCGGCGAGGTGAGAGGGATTCTGCGAGCGGCCGCCGCGCGGCGAGTCCGGAGCGGGCGGCTGCGGGGAGGCGCGGACAGACCGACGCTCCCGCTTCTCGGCCCGCGCCTCCCCCTGTGGCCGCCGGACCTGCACCCCGCGCTTGCCCCCGCTCGTCCTCCCCCCGCCCGGCCCCGCGCGCTCCTCCTCGGCCGGCCCCCTCGGCGCGCGGCGCGCTGGAGGCGAACGCGGGCTGAGCCGAGCGCAGTGGCCGCCGACCACCGAGCGCCCCGCGCCGCTCCCTGCATGTGCGGCCCGCGGCGGCTCGCAGCCCCCGGCAGCAGCCTCGGCAGCTTCGGCCGCGCCTCCAGAGGCGGCTGCAGCGGCTCCAGCGGCGGCCGAGCGGCCGAGCCCGGGCTGGGAGACACGATGCGCCGCGTCCTCCGGCTGCTCCTCGGCTGCTTCCTCACCGAGCTGTGCGCCCGCGTGTGCCGGGCGCAGGAGCGAGCGGGGCACGGGCAGCTGGCGCAACTGGGCGGCGTGCTGGTGCTGACAGGGGGCAACCGCTCCGGGGCCGCCTCGGGAGAGGCCGGCGAGGGCGCGGGGGTCTCGGACGCGCCCCCGACCCGGGCGCCCACGCCGGACTTCTGCCGCGGCTACTTCGATGTCATGGGCCAGTGGGACCCGCCGTTCAACTGCAGCTCGGGCGACTTCATCTTCTGCTGCGGGACTTGTGGCTTCCGGTTCTGCTGCACGTTTAAGAAGCGGCGGCTGAACCAGAGCACCTGCACCAACTACGACACGCCGCTCTGGCTCAACACCGGCAAGCCCCCTGCGCGCAAGGACGACCCCCTGCACGACCCCACCAAGGACAAGACCAACCTGATCGTCTACATCATCTGCGGGGTGGTGGCTATCATGGTGCTGGTGGGCATCTTCACCAAACTGGGGCTGGAGAAGGCGCACCGGCCCCAGAGGGAGCACATGTCCAGGTGGGCTGCCCCCCTCTTCCTCCCCTCGGGGCCTCGCCCTCCCCGCTCTCCCCTCCCCAACGTCCCCCAGGCAGTGGCGCGGGCCCCCAGCTTCTCCGCCGGGGGCTGTCTCCCCGGAAGCCAACTTGGGCTTGCAGCGCGACCAAGGGGCGCTGGGTTCCGCACAGGTGTGCGTGTGCGCAGGGGGCCTCTGTCCCCTCGCCCTCTGGCCAAAGGCGGAAGCGGACTTGAGTCGCGCGGCCTGGGAGCCCCCTGAATCTTGGGTTTTGGGGAGGGGGGGTCCTTGACACCCTTCGGATTCCAGGTAAACAGGGGCAGGCGAGCCCCAGAGGGAAGGGGGGCGTGTGCGAGCCCGCGCGCGCGTGTATGAGCGAGGTTGGCGGGGAGGGGGGGGGAGTGAGTGCCGCCTGCAACTCGTACTCGCCGCGGTGAGGCGGGGTGGGGGCGGGGTGGGGGGGAACAAAAGCCCAGCTTGGAGCGCCCTCCTGGCCATCCCACAGCTTCCCGGTCCCCGAGTGGGGATCTCGGCTGCCCCCGCCTGTGCCACCCTCCTTGCACCTTTCTGCTTGTCAGCACCTCCGCGCCACTCCCTCGGCCTGGCCGGCGTGGCCTCCGGGGGCCCGAGCCCCCTCCCCGAGAGCCTTCACCCCGCAAGCACCCTGATTCGTCAACTTTGCTGTGTGCCTGATGCATTATGCAAGTCCCAGCTCGGCAAGGCGCAGCAGATGGGGGAAGGCATTTGGGGATTAATGGAGCTATTTGCCTTTTGCGTGTGTTTTCTAAAGTGTCTAAATGAATTCGCACAACTCAGTAACTTTGGAGGCGGAGGAGGCAGTCGTGAACTTGCAACCCTCGGGCCAGGTGGGTGGGTGGGGGAGGCGAGGGGTCGGTGTGCAGTCGCGGCCCGTGAACGGCTCGCTGGAGGGCCGGGCGTGACATTTAGCTGTCCCCTTCCGGCGTCCGGGAAGCCAGGTTGCTGCCCACCTCCCCTCCCAGGCACCCCTACACCCCGCCGGGGGCCTGTGTGCGCGCGTGTCTGTGCACGCGCTCCGTGTGCCTGCTGCCTACAAGATCTTAACAAAGAGACCCACCAAAAATAGGCGAAGGAACATCACCACCTCACTAGTAATTATTTTCTATTTATACGCAGAGTATCCAATGATTTTTTTTTTCTCCAGAAGGGAGGGATTTGGGGGTAGGAGGTGAAGTTCTGGGTTCGGGTCAGCAGGGAGGTGTGAGGGGATGGTGAGGTTTTCAGACAGTGACATAAGCCGGGAGGGGAGCCAAGAAGCCCCCAGCTAGCAACGGAGTTCAGCCTTGGCCCCGCCCCCCTCTTGCGGTTTCCCCCTCCCACCTCAGGTGCCCCGTCAGCAGCCCCACCTGCCCACCTGCCCACCTGCCCGCCTGCCGGGTTATTTCACTCCCTTGCTGTCAGGCCAGGCCCTATTGATTCTCCCGGTCCCCGTGGAGGTGAGAGGAAGAAATGCGTGCAGGACTGCGGCAAAGGGTGCCGCCTGGGTAGCAAAGATTTCTCAGAGCCAGGTAGGCAGCTTTGCAGATTCGCCTGAACTGCAGAAATCTCTATGGAGCCTTTCCCTCCAAACTGGCTCTTAAAGGAGCCCTCCGGGATAGGGAGGGGCGGTGGGAAGGCGGGGAGAGGAGCTAACACCCGGGGTGGGTGGCTGGCAGTGGCTTCACACGGTCTTGGATCTGAGCTCCTCCCCAGGTATCCAAGGGCCCAGCAGGGACCCGACTTCCTGGTCCTGCCACCTTGCGGCGCTGGGGGGTGACTCCAGCCAAGGGCTGCAGCCCCGTGCCTCTGCAGGTGCCAGGGAAGCTTTGATTGGAGGTTGAGTGTAGGGGTTGCTTAGCTGCCCCGAGTGCACCTGGGGCGTTCCAGAGCGGGGTGCAAGGACAGACTTCTGCAGAGGGGGGTTGTTGCTTTTTGCTGGCAGCTTTCTAGGTATGGCGTTCAACCCTGGCTGCTGTTGACGATTACCTGGAGTGCTTTGCAAAATAAATAGGCAAAAATACATACATACATACAAAAATGACCTGTTACCAGGGGCCCACGTTAGACTTCGGAATCTCTGCTGTGGGGCCTAGCATATTTTCCTATAAAGCACTCCAGGTGATTTTCATGTTGAGCCAATCGCTGTTAAGGAACTGATAACCTCGAAACACCGGCCTGCATCCCAGGCCCTGGACTGTGTGTGTGTGTGTGTGTGTGTGTGTGCACGCTCTCATGTAGTTTTCACAGGGACCTTATGGGCCAGGTACTGTTTTAATTCCCACTTACCTGTGAGAAAACCATGGCTCAGGTATGGTGGATTGCCCAAGGTCCTACAGTTAGAAGATCGTGCAACTTCTTGTCTCCCAGTTTCAGCTATGCCAAGGGCAGATGTTTTCAAATCAAGTGAGCGTGGGAATCTGGGGGCAGCAGAGGTCCTAAGAATGCAGACTGTTGAGTTCTATCCACAGAGATTCTGAAGCCATGGGTTGAGGTGGTTCCCCACCATCCTGCTGTTAACAACCTCCCTGGATGGCTCCGAGAAAAAGCAGCCCACATTTGGGGAAGCACTGGGCTTGGGACTATTTTGCAGAGAAAGGAAAGGGGCCATTGCTTGCACTGCGTGGCTTGTTTCTCTCCCCCTGGGTAACCTGTCTGTGGTGCTGGGGTTGCCCCAGGTCACCTCCGAGCGCATCAGGTGCTCATTCTGCAGTTAATCGTTTGGGGTCCCCGCCTTGGCACTTGGCTCCTTAGCTTCTGCCTGACGGTGCCAAGGGACGCAGGTCTACCATCCGAGGGCCTGCTGCAAGGTAGCACAGCTTCCAGGTGAAACTCACCTGCCAGCTGCCGCTTCTTTATTTTGTCTGCGGCTGCAAGGGATCCTAAGCTGGGGTTGCTTCTCCACTTGTCTCGGAGTACCTTTTCTTAAAGACATAAAGCAGGTTGCCATTTTCCCAGGGTGAACTTGGGCCCTGGTGACAAGTTAGACTTGTGTTTTCCATCGGAGTCTTCCAAGATGTGAGTTAGCAGGCGCAGCGTCCTAGGTGCACGGCTCACTTCCTTCTGGGATAATTGAGAGAAATTCAGCAATTCCAGGAAGCTGGGGACAGGGAGGCTGGGGTGAGATTTTGTGAGAGCCACCCACCCTATTAGCCTCGGCGGCAGCATCCCCATTCAAGAACTGTTTTTCTTTTCTTTCTTCTTCTTTTTTTTTTTAAACAGCTTTTTCCTTCCATTCCTTTTTTAAGAGGCAGAGGGCTCCCATCTCATGGTTTAGTACCTAAATGCCTGCAATAACCGGGGATGGTCCGGGCCAAAGCCAAGACCCAGGAACTCAATCCAGGTGTCCCTCATGTGTGGCAGGGGCCTGATGACCTGAGCCATTTCCTGCCTCTTGCCAGGGTCCCTTCTTCCAGCCTCCCTCCTTGATTCCTCTCCTTCCTTCTTTGCCTCTTTCCTTTTCTTCCTTTTTTTTTTTTTTTTAGCTGAAACATTGAAAATAAGTTACAAACAGGCCATTGGCCCTGAGGGGGTGCTCAGCATGGGTCTGCTAAAAATATTGTCCCACAGAACACAATTCCATCATCATACTCGAGGGAAGCAAACCCCCAAATTGCTTGGTATCACCAAATGCCCAGTCAGGTTAACCATTCCCAGTCATGTGAAAATGTTGTGGGGCTTGGTTTCCCAAGTTAGGATTTGGTCAAGACACCATCGTGTTTGGCTGTGAAGTCCCTTTACTTTCCATTGTATTGATGTTTCAAAACCAAGCTGCAATCAGTTGTCAACATTTAAAACTGGAGGATTACACACAGAAAACCCAAGTTTTGTTGAGAATCCGGTAGGTCTGGTAACACCGCAGCTGCATGTTCACAACGGAACTACTGGTTGTGCTGAGTGGTGGGTGCTCCCTTTGGAGAGATCTTGGGTTCATCTCAGCCACCATCCTGCTCCCCTATTTCACTGAGAGATGTTACTGGCCAGGCTGGCCTGAACAGCATGGGCTCCAGTGAGATGGCCTGAGATTTGATTCTGTCTCAGCCACTTAATTGCTGTGTGACCTTGGGAAAGCTGCTTCCTCTCTCTGAGTCTGTAAGTTGAGAATTCACCAAGACCAGGCTTGGAACGCAGTAAGTGTAGACCCTGTCTCAAGGTCACTGCTTGGCAGCTCTTACTCTGTAACACCACCCTTATTAGAACGCGTCCGGCCTTGTGTTACCGAGGGGAGGAGTTCTGTTGCCTGGACCCCATTGGTCATCCCTAGTCCTGCTGTGTTTGTTTATCAGTGTGACTCTGGCCACGTCTCCTCACCTCTCTGGATTGCACTTGAATCTGCACTGGAGAGGCTGGGCGATTCAGGAGGGGGAGGTCCATGAGTGACTGCGTTCAGTGCGTTGCTGACCGTAGGTCTAGGGGACATGGAGGAAGCCTGCTGGTTCTGCAGTCTTGCCATAGACTTCATGTGGAAGTTCCCATTTCGTTTCATGCCCTTCCCTTTGAGGTAGGGGTTAGGATAACCTGCCCTGTACAGAAGCGTGGATCGCTTTCCACAAGGACGAACAAGACCCCGGTGAGTGAAGAGTTGGACTTCGGAGCCAGGCAGGCTGAGGAAGGCACAGGACCTGGTCTTGGGGTGAAAACCTGCAGGACTTCAAGCTTCTCAGATCCCAAAGAAGTGCTTGTACCCTGCAAACAACAGCACGTGCATCTGGCCTGCTTCAAGGAGCCACTGTGAAATGCAGATGAAGAAGAGCATTTTGTGTACCTGCTCCTGCTGAGCCCACACCTCTTCCTGGAGGCATTGGTGAAAATGACCTTGGGGGCAGAAACCCTTGTTCGAAGCTCTCTACACTTGAAGCCAGCAGAGAACCTGTGTCAGAATTTTGCCCAGCTTTAATCAGAATTGGAAATCCAAGCATCGAATTGCAGAGAATGATGTCTTGTTTTCCAAACACAGTTCAGCAAAGCTGGAGTTGTTTGCAGATAAATG